CCAGATCAGAATAACATCAGGAAAGCACCTGCCTTGAATCCTGGCCATCCCAGGCCACACCACCCAGTGGAGCACAGCTGGGTCAAGTGAGCGCTTGTCTCAAATCTGTATCACATTAATTAAAAATCTTAATTTTAAAACTTTTTGTATGTGGTTTGAGACTATATATCTTTTTCCTAGGACTCAAGTGACCGACCATACTTTTCACCTCTGAGAGATTCCAACATTTTTGAAAAGTGGCGAATTTTCAAAGTAGCAAATTGTACATATTTTTATACTGGTCTTTCCATCTAGATTATTATGCATTTGATAAGAGGCCATTGCTTATTTAAAAAAGTAAATAAATAAAATAAATAAATATAGCCCTGTTTCAGCTAGCCCACTGATGGGTTGGGTTATAAGTGTGAGCGATCACACACAGCTTCATATGATGATTTCAATACTCAAGTGTGCTTGAGCTTCAACCCTGGGGTCTCACTGACACAAACTAAGTGCTGTGGCACTGAGACATACACTGCCATCCTACATGTTTTCAAGGGTGGGAATTACGGGTATTACCATCATTTCAAGTTCCAAATGCTCCTGGGAACTTGATAGGCAAGTTCCTTGATAGGCAAGCACTCTATCCAATGAGCTACATTTCCTGCCTTCTCTTTGTAGTTTAGACAGTAAAAAGCCAGAAAAACTTAATCATGGGCCTATGGGAATATGTGTGTCTAAGTATCTGCATGGGTTTTTTTGTTTTCTGGGTTTTTGGTTCTATTTTACTTTTTCTTGGACTTTTGGGTGTGTTTTTTTCCAATTGCTGTTGTTTTATACTTGTTGTTATTTTAGATTCCTGTTTGTGTCATGAGAGAGAGAAAAAGTATAGATTTAAGGATGTGGGAGGATGATGTGGGATGAGCTATGGGAGGGTACAACATAATCAGAATATACTGTATGAAAAGAAATCCATTTTCAACTTTAAAAAATGACATTTGAAGGGATTCTAGGGAGCCTGAGCATGGCAAACATGGCTCTGCCTTGCTAAAAACCATGAGATTACATTCGTAAAGATAGCCACCAAGGTGAATGCCCTTATTTTGCCACTTCGTTGTCCTGAGGCTGACCACCAGGGTGAGGCTATCAATGTATTGAAGTCCAACAACCATAGCTCTCATTAGCACATCTGATTAACATGCTCAATTAAAATTAAACACCTCATCCTAGTATGGAGTTTTCCCTTTTACTTTATCATTTTTTTGAATTTTAAAAAGAATCTTTTCTGATTTTACCTACCAATTTCAGTTCCCACTAACTCAGTTCCTCCTGCTGCCCAATACTTTCTACTATCACACCCACCATCCACTCCTCAGAAAGGGTGAGGCTTCCCATGGGGAGTCAAGGAACTCTGGCACTTTACTTTGAGGCAGAACCAAGGCCCTCTCCCTTTATCTGGGCTAAAGAAAGTATCCTTCCAAAGTGAATGGGCTCCAAAAAGCCAGGTCAAGCACCAGGTATAAATCCGGGGACCACTGTCTATGGACTCATAGACTGCACAAGACACACTACAGTCACCCACACTCAGAGAGCCTAGTTTGGTCCTATGCAGGCTGCCACCCAGCTGTCTGTCCAGAGTCAGCTGCTTCTGTGGGTTTCATAAACTGCCATTTCCCTATGGGCCACACCTGTCTCCTCTTTATTCAGAGGCAGCCTTTATCCCACTTGCCGACTACTCTCACTGGCCTCTAGCCCTTCTCCCTCATGCTCTATATCTCCTGACTTTGTCCCTGTATTCCCTGCCCACTGTCCCTGTGGAGCAAATAAATCTCCTTTTTGCTAAGAACTTGGTGTTGAGGTGTGCTGAGCTGACACCTTTTCCTCTGAATATTCACCCCACTGTCTGAGAAATTCCAACTCTACACACATTCAGGAACCTTAGAAGGATGCAAACTGCACATATTTACTCAATGACCTTTTCATCTAGATCACCATGCCTTTAAAAAGAGGCTGTTGGTTCCAGATAAGGTTACGGCTGCCTCCTTTTCCACAGCACTGCCGATGGCTGTCGTCCTGCTCCCTTCCTCTTCCTAAGCTCTGCTCCCACTTGCTCTTCCACCCTTATCCTTTCGACAGGGGATTGCTGTCTTGCGCAAGCTACCCTCAAAACCTCCCAGGGCCAGCACTGCTCCTGCCTCAGCATCTGAGTGTTAGTATTCAGGCATCTGTACTGGCCTGCCCTTGGGGCTTTGACAGGCGATCTGGACAAATGGTGAAAAGGGAACGACAGTAAGGAGTAATGGCGAGGGACAGACGTGAAGAAATGGCTTGGGCAGCAGATGGTCACAGTTGTTATAAAAAGGCAAAGAAATCCACCAATCTAATACCCGTTTTCAGTTTCCATTCCTAGAGCCCACAGAAAGCTATCTCTGGACTTGCATACGACAGTCACATGGGACATGACCTAGCAAGAGACTCCACCTCCTCATTTGAAAATACCTGCCATTTTAGTCACCACCATTTTCACGAACTGTTAATCCGAGTGATTTTTAAGTTTCCCTAATAGAACGGAGGGGGGCATGGAGGACAACGGGCCCAGTACCAGACAGGGTGGAAGGTAGTTCTGAGGGGAAGACGACAGAACAGGGCACTGAGTCTCTCCCCGACTGGCAAAGCTGCCATCAGGCGCCATTTTATGCAGCCTGTGTGGCGATGCTGAGGACTCCCCGGAAGCATCCTTCCGGACCAGTGGGGACCCCGAGGAGGGCGAGGGACCCCGAGGAGGGCGAGGGGACCAGAGGCTACATTCGCAGAGACACAACTAGAAAGAACCAGGTACCCTCACGGTTTGCCGTCACGTTGCCACCACCACCACGACCACGACTTGGACTCCAGCCATCTCCAAGAGGAATGTGCCAGGTGCCGAGGGAGGAGGAGTCTCTTCCTGGACCCTCCTCCCGCGCTCCACGGTTGGCTACTGGAGCCCTCCAATCACTGCCCGTCCTTGCCCTGTTGCCAAGGCTCAATGGGCAGACTTTAGTGTATGCCAGGCAACACCAGGCCTCCAATCGGGAGGGCGGGGCGGGGCAAAACCAGCTGCAGCCTGTCCACCAGGGTCCCTTTTTTTGTTTGTTTGTTTTAGTTTCCAAAGCAGGGTTTCTCTGGACTACTTTGGAGCCTGTCCTGACACTCGATCTCTAGACCAGGCAGGCATCAAACTCATAGAGATCAGTCTGCCTCTGCCTCTGCCTCTCTGCCTCTCTCTGCCTCTGCCTCCCGAGTGCTGGTGTTAAAAGGCTTGTGCTCTAAAAGCCCAGCTACCACAGTGCTCTTGAGTGCCCCAGTTTGCACAAATCTGAGCAGGAAGAAACACACCGAATAGAAATAATCGCTCAGTTTTTATACCTGTTCCTTAAATATTTTCCCTGGTTTATATTAAGACAATGTCATCATTAATCTTTGGCTTCAAATACTAAATATGTTAACGGTAAATTAATCTTTGGCTTCAAACACTATTTTACCTGTAATTTTTTTCACTATTTTTCCTTTCAGATTATGCCTTAGACCCACAACTCAAAGTACCTATAATCTCACTGACCCAAAACATTTTTTGATCAACAAACCAACCATAGGGATAACAGTGCAATCCTATTCAGGAGTTCACATCAACAATTAGGGTTTACGACCTAGATGTTGGATCTGGACATCCAAAAGGTACAGCAGATATTAAAGATTGCTTTGCTCAACAATTAAACGCCTAGTGATCTGAGTTCAGCCCAGAGTAATCCAGGTGGCTTTCTATCTATTTACGTTTTATCCCAGTACCAAAGCATAAGAAATGGGGCCTTCTTAAAACAAGCAACCCAAAACAATTACCGAAATTATCTTACCATAGGACATTCCTATCAACCTGCCCTCCATAAGGGTACATTAGTGTGGAATAGACGGGAAATTGCTTGAAACTTAAAACCTTGTCCTCAGAGTGTCAGATCCACTTTCTAATGGTGCATTTAATCAATGTCTTTATACTCCCAATTCCTATCTGAATTGCAATAGCTTTTCTTTTCAGTTCATGTTCATGATTATCTTGTGTCCATGTTTGTTTGTTACTCAAGTGAGTGCCTGATGCCTGTACAGTCTAAAGGAGGACTAGAATCCCTGGGAACCTGGAGACACAGAGGGTTGTGAGCCAAGTGGTGCTGGGAATCAACTTTATGCCTTGAGGGACCAGCCCAGTGTTCTTAATCACTGAGCTGATTAAGATTCAGACCCCTATGTAGTCTGTGTGTGTGTGTGTGTGTGTGTGTGTGTGTGTGTGTGTACCTCTATCTGCCTAGAGTCCATCAGCTCCATAAAGGTGTATTCCTTACATATTTTGGTAACAAATGTGATCATTACTCTTCTATATAAAAATCTACCCACTCTCACCTGTTTTTCTTCTTTTTAAATTACATATTCACTTATTTGTTCGTGTGTGTGTGTGTGTGTGTGTGTGTGTGTGTGTGTGTGTGTGTGTCTGTGTGTCTGTGTATTTTTTTGTCTCCAAGCTTTCCTTTGAGGTAAATTTACAACTTCCAGTGCCTACATTTAAAGAATGCAGATAAGATTATACAAATAACTCATACACAGAAACTGGGGGAAAAAGAGCAAAGAAAAAAAATCCAAACACGAACTGAAGGGATCCTAGAGATGGAAATCATCGGTAAGCAAAGAGGAACTATAGAAGCAAGCATCACCAAAAGAACACAAGAGATGGAAGAGAAGATCTCTGGTGTAAAAGAGACAATAAAAGAAATTGATACACTGATAAAAGAAAATTTCACATCTAAAAAATTTCTGGCAAAACATGCAGGACATCTAGGATTATATAAAAAGATCAAACCTAAGAACATTAACACAGAAGGAGAAGAAAGCCAGCTCAAAATCCCAGAAATATTTTCAATATTATCATAGTAGAAAATCTTCCTAATCTAAAGGAGATGCTAGTAAAAGTACAAAATACTTACAGGACACCAAATACATTGTACCAAGAAAGAAAGTGCCATACCATAAAATAGTCAAGACACTAAACATAGAGAACAAAGAAACAACATTGAAAGCTGCAAGAAAAAAAAATCGTATAAAGGCCAATCTTTTAGAATTAGACCCAACTTCTCAATGAAAATTGTAAAACCCTGAAGTGCCTAGACAGTTGTCTTGCAGACACCGAGAGACCACTGAGGGAAAAAAAAATAGTATGCCCAGCAGAACTTTCAATAACCATAAATGCAGAAACTACAATTCCCTGATGAAGCCACCTTTAAAGAATACCTATCCACAATCCCAGCACTACATTACATACTAGAAGAAAAACTGTAATTCAAGGATGTTAACTATACTGCTGAAAATACAAGCAATATCCACCAGTGAAACAATAAGGAAAGTACACATAGGCAGGAGCGCTTTCTCTCTCTCTCTCTCTCTCTCTCTCTCTCTCTCTCTCTCTCTCTCTCTTTCTCTCTCTGGTCACGATTGCGTCAGAAGAGCAGCACACACATAAACAATCACTACTACCAGCAAAATAGGAGGAATTAACAACCAATAGTCATAAATATGCCTCAAGATCAATGGACTCAGTTTCCCAATATAAAGATAGAAATTAACAGAACAGATACAAAAACAGGACCCATCCTTCTGCAGCATGCAACAAACACACCTCAACAGCAAAGACAGACAGAGTAAAAAGTTGGTAAGAGACTTTTCAAAGAAATGGACACAAGGAGTGAGCTGGTTTAGGCATTCTAGTATCTAACAAAAATGACTTCCAACCAAAATGATCAAAACAGATGCAGCGGGACAGACACTTCATAGTCATCAAAAGAATCTTACACCATGATGATGTCTCAATTCAGAATAACTAAACCTCCCCCCAAAAGGGTACCCAAATTTGTAAAAACAACAGTACTAAAGCTTAAACCACAGACCAAACCACTTACATTAATCGTGGGAGAGTTCAATATCCCAATCTCTACAACAGAAAGACCATCTAAACAGAAACAAAACTGAGAAATAATGAACTAGAAGTTATGACTTAATAGGACCTAACAGATATCTATAGAACATTTCACCATAAAAAAAGAGTACTCTTTCCTGTCAGCACCTCTTGGAACATCCTCCAAAATTGAACACACACTCGGCTATAAAGCAAACCTCAAAACTGACAAAAAATTGAAATAAAGAAATATATTTTATCTAACAATCATGGATTAACGCTGGATATCAACAGTAACAGAAACAAGAGATATCCTATGAACTCAAGGAAATGGAACTCCTAACACTGTAACTGAGTGACTATTGGATCAACACAGAAATAAAGAAATTAAAACACTTCCAGGAATTGAAGGAAAACTAATAAACAACTTGCTCAAACTTACAGAACATAATGAAAGAGGTGCTATGCAAAAAGTTCACAGCACTCCTTGTATTGATGAAGAAATTAGAGGGATCTCACACAAGCAAACTAACAGCACACTTGAAAGCCCTATTTCAAAAAGAGGTAAACACAGCCAAGAATAGATGACAGGAAATAAGCAACAGAGGGCTGAAATCAGTACAATAGACACAACAGAACAATATAATAAACCAATGAGACCATCAGTTGTCCTTTGAGAAAATCAGCAAATAAACCCTTATCCAAACTAATTAAAAGGCACAGAGAAAATGACCAAATAACCAAAATCAGAAACAAAATGGTAGTCATAACAAGAGACACTGAGGAATTATAATCTTTAGGTCACACGTGAAAAACTTGTACTCCACAAAATTGGAAAACCTGGAAGAAATAGATATACTGGAGAGAGCTGGACATCCGTCTCCGGGTAGCTGCGGGTATGGTGCTGATCACCTGGGAGCAAATTAAAAACGGGCAATGTTGAGAAAGGCAAGAAGATTTTTGTTCAGAAGTGTGTCCAGTGCCACACTGTGGAAAATGGAGGCAAACATAAGACTGGACCAAATCTCCATGGTATGATCGGGAGGAAGACAGGTCAGTCTGCTGGATTCTCATACACAGATGCCAACAAGAACAAAGGCATCACCTGGGGAGAGGATACCCTGATGGAGTATTTGGAGAATCCCAAAAAGTACATCCTAGGAACAGAAATGATCTTCACTGGAATTAAGAAGGGAGAGAGGGCATACCTAATAGCTTATCTTAAAAAGGCTACTAATGAGTAATCCTGATGCCTTGTTTATTACAAAACAAATGTCTAATGACTTTTAATGTGTACTATAATTTAATTTACACAAGAATATTCAGATCATCAATGGCTAACTAAGTTTTTGTTGGACAATCCAGATTTAAGTAAAACTTGACTTGTAGTAAAGTGGATACGTTCTGTTTTAAAATAACAATTCCAGTTGCATAAATACTATCACTTCTCTCCCTGTCTCAAGATAGGATTGGACTTAATTATTAAAGTTCTACCTTCCACAAAGATGGGGGTGTCACCTAAACCTATTGAATGGTTTTATACTTAAATATATACAACTGGGCACATCCTTCCCATTTTGTCAATCACATCTCCACACCTTGCATCTGATTTACTGTTCCTGGTAAATATACACAAAGTCCTGTTTGATTATGAGAGTGGCAAGATGGCAGGGGAAATGCGGGAGAAAAGAAAAGGGAACCGGGGAAATGCTTGAGCAGCCAAGTTGTAATAACTTGCAGCCAAGGTTGGGGGTGGGGAGGGGGACCTGGAGTCAATCATGAGGGAGCGACTAATCATTGCTTCTACAAACAACAAACAATGCACCAATCAAATGTCCATTCTGTGTCTTTCTGGCACTTCCATAAATACATCCTAAGAAAACTAACTTCAGGCTGGCAGTGGTGGCACATGCCTTTAATCCCAGCACTGGGGAAGCTGAGGCAGGTGCATCTCTGTCAGTTCCCAGGATAGCCTGATCTACAGATTGAGTTCCAGGATGGAAGGGCTCCAAAGCTACACACAGAAACCCTGTCTCAAGAAAAAAAACAAGGGCTGGAGAGATGGCTTAGAGGTTAACTGCTGGTCCAGAGATTCTGAGTTCAATTCCCAGCAACCACATGGTGACTCACAACCATCCCTTATGAGACCAGGTGCCCTCTTCAGGTCTGCAGATATACAAGGAAGCAGAATATTGTATACATAATAAATAAATAAAATCTTAAAAAAAGGGAAACAAACAACACAAAAACTACTAAAAGATAATGAGCACTTAGTTCACCTATGTGGTCCTGAGGGTCGTGACTCCACAAGAGGCCCCAGGTCCTCATTTGAAAATACCCGCCGTTTTAGTCCCCGCCCCCTTTACCAACTGTTAATCCGAGTGATTTTTAAGTTTCCCTAATAGAACGGAGGGGGGCATGGAGGACAACGGGCCCAGGACTAGACAGGGTGGAAGGTAGTTCTGAGGGGAAGACGACAGAACAGGGCACTGAGTCTCTCCCCGACTGGCAAAGCTGCCATCAGGCGCCATTTTATGCAGCCTGTGTGGCGATGCTGAGGACTCCCCGGAAGCATCCTTCCGGACCAGTGGGGACCCCGAGGAGGGCGAGGGACCCCGAGGAGGGCGAGGGGACCAGAGGCTACATTCGCAGAGACACAACTAGAAAGAACCAGGTACCCTCACGGTTTGCCGTCACGTTGCCACCACCACCACGACCACGACTTGGATTCCAAGCCATCTCAAGCCATCTCCAAGAGGAATGTGCCAGGTGCCGAGGGAGGAGGAGTCTCTTCCTGGACCCTCCTCCCGCTCTCCACGGTTGGCTACTGGAGCCCTCCAATCACTGCCCGTCCTTGCCCTGTTGCCAAGGCTCAATGGGCAGACTTTAGTGTATGCCAGGCAACACCAGGCCTCCAATCGGGAGGGCGGGGCGGGGCAAAACCAGCTGCAGCCTGTCCAACAGGGTCCCCCCCTTTTTTTTTAAATTTCCAAAGCAGGGTTTCTCTGTACTACTTTGGAGCCTGTCCTGACACTTGATCTGTAGACCAGCCAGGCCTCAAACTCACAGAGATCAGCCTGCCTTCAGTCTGCCTCTGCCTCTCTCTGCCTCTGCCTCCCGAGTGCTGGTGTGAAAAGGCTTGTGCTCTAAAAGCCCTGACACACCACAGTGCTCTTGAGTGCCAGTTTGCACAAATCTGAGCAGGTACAAACACATCGAAAAGAAATAATCGCTAAGTTTTTATACCTGTTCCTTAAATATTTTCCCTGGTTTATATTAAGACAATGTCATCATTAATCTTTGGCTTCAAATACCAATTATTTTACCTGTAATTTTTTTCACTATTTTTATTTTCAGATTATAGCTTAGACCCACAAATCAAAGCACCTATAATCTCACTAAATCAAAACATTTTTTTTTTTTTGTCTACAGACCAAGTTACGCTACAGACAACAGTGCAATCCTATTCAGGAGTTCACATCAACAATTAGGTTTACGACCTTGATGTTGGATCAGCACATCCAAATGGTCCACCAGATATTAAAGGTTCCTTTGCTCAGCAACTAAATTCCTATATATTCTGAGTTCAGCCCAGAGTAATCCAGGTTGCTTTCTATTTATTATTTACCCTAGTACCAAAGGCTAGAAATGTGGCCCTCTAAACAAAAGAAACCCAAAACAATTAATGATATTATCTTACCATAGTAGATTCGTATCAACCTGCCCTCTATAAGGATACATTAGGGTGGCAGAGACCAGACATTGCTTAAAATTTAAAACCTTGTTCTCAGAGTCTCAAATCCACTTTCTAACAGCGCATTTAATCAATGTCTTTATACTCCCAATTCCTATCTGAATTGCCATAGCTTTTCTTTTCAGTTCACACTCACGATTATCTTGTGTCCTTGTGTTTGTTTGTTACTCAAGTGAGTGCCTGGTGCCTGTGCAGTCTAGAGGAGGACTGGAATCCATGGGAATCTGGAGACACAGAGGGTTGTGAGCCAAGTGGTGCTGGGAATCAACTGTATGCCTTGAGGGACCAGCCCAGTGTTCTTAATCACAGACCTGATTCTCCAGCCCCCTATGGAGAGAGAGAGAGAGAGAGAGAGAGAGAGAGAGAGAGAGAGAG